TATTTCTTTTGATAATTAGAAAGGTTTAATTTTTATTCCAATAGTTACCTTGGTAATGTCCTGATTGTATAATACCCTCAATTCTCTATTTAGTCAGACTTTTAGTATCTGTAATTCCCTTCTATAAGTAATGATTGATAAGCTGGACTTCATTAAAATCAGAAACTTTGTTCTGCAAAAGACAATGTCAAGAGAATAAGACAAGCCACAAACTGGGAGAAAATATTTACAAAAGACACATTTAATAAAGGGCTGTTATCCAAAATATACAAAGAACTCTTAAAAATCAGGAAGAAAACAAACAACCTGATTTTTAAAATGAACTAAAGACCTTAACACACAACCCAACAAAGGTATACAGATAAAAAATAAGCATATGAAAAGTTGCTCCACATCAATTGTCATTTGGGAAATGCAAATTAAAATGACATACCACCACACATCTACTAGTATTTGGCCATAATTTGGAACACTGACAACACCAAAGGCTGGTGAGAATGTACTAGTAGAGCAATAGGAACTCTCAGTGTTTGTGGGAAGGCAAAATGATACTACCACTTCGTAAGATAGTTTGGCAGTTTTTATAAAATGAAACATACTCTAACCCTGTGATTCTTGGCATTTACCCAAAGGAGCTAAAACTTATGCCCACAGTAAAACCTGCACACAAGTGTTTACAGCAGCTTTATTCATAATCACTGAAACTTGGAGGCAACCAAGATGGCCTTCAGTAGATGACTGGATAAATAAACTGTGATCCATCCAGACAATGAAAAGAGCTATCACTCCATGAAAAGACATAAAGGAACCTTACTAGTAAATGCACATTACTAAGTGGAAAAAAAATCTGGAAAGCCTATATACTATATGATCCCAACTGTATGACATTCTAGAAAAGGCAAAATCATGGAGACTAAAAGATCAGTGTTTTGCCAAGGGTTGGGGAACAGTATGGGGAAGGATGAATTGGTAGGGTATAGAGGGTTTTTAGCAGTTAAAATACTTGTATGTAACCATGATGAATACCCAAAGAATGTATACCACCAAGACTGAACCATAATGTAAACTATGGGCTTCGGGTGATTATGATGAGTGAATGTAGCTGCATCATTTGTAGCAAATGTACCACCCTGTTGGGGGATGCTGAAAATGGAGGAGGCTGTGCATGTGGTGGGGCAGGAGGTACCTGAGAAATCTCTACCTTCCTCTCAATTTTGCTGTGAACCTAAAACTGCTCTAAACAAATAGTCTTAAAAATACACACAACAGTCGCAGTGGGGTAGGGTAGCAGCAAGTATCTTTCCCATAGGAAGGCAGTCTGGTCTTGATGGTTTCTTTCAAATAACTGTACTTGTCACATGTTTTTTTTAAGATATATTTTTATTGCTTTCAGAGAAGTGAGAGACAGAAACATTAATGAGAGAATCACTGATTGGTTGCCTCATGCAAGCCCCCTATTAGGGGCTGAGCCCACAACCCAGGAATGTGCCCTGACCCTCCTGTTTACTGAACCCTCCTGGTTCATAGGTCGATGCTCAAAACAATGAGCCACGCCTGCGTGGCTACCTTTTTTTTTTTTTTTTTTTTTAATCTAAGGGATTTTTTAAATGAGATACCACTACACATCTATTGGCCAAAATCTGGAACACTGACACCACCAAAGGCTGGTGAGGATGTAGAGCAACAGGAACTCTCAATGCTTGTGGGAAGGCAAAATGATACTACCACTTTGTAAGCTAGTGATCCTGAAATCAAGATAATATTAAACTGAGTTCTAGACTATACAATTCCAATTGTTTCAAGTGTGCTAGTCATATCAAGCTAAATATAAGCTGCTTATGGCTAGGGAGGTAAATCTTTTATCATGAACTTGAGAAGGACAGTTGTTGATGATTAAAAATAAGTCACATGGGATTCAGAATCACCTCAAAGTAAAGCTACCTGTCCTGATTTGGAATGCTTATTGCTCTGTCTCTTAAATTCAGCCTCAAAGATCATTGTGTACTGATTCTCATAAGGGCTGTGGCTAAACCCTGCCACTGTGCCAGAGCAACTGACAATACATAAGACTAATTTAAAAAATGCTTTCTAGGAGTGTGAATTCCTAACCCACACACATAAACCTGTTAAAATTTTACTCTTCAGAACAAATTATATCTAAGTTTTAAGTTGAATTAGTAGCAAATAATACTTAAAGTTAGGTGAACAGACCATTATCACTCACTGTTGACCCTGTTCCCTCTCACACTCTTGACTATTTTCTTTGAATTAGATTTCAATTTTCTGAAGCTTGCATTGTTTAATTAGACACTGCTAACATACAACTAACTAGAAGCTCAAAAGCCCCAAAACTGCATTCAATATACTTTTGTGAGCTTTGATGCTCAGTGTGGAAAACATAATGAATGGACAAATGCTTCCCACCACTACAGTTACATTCTACATCTAGATGCCTCTTAGCAAGTATCATCGTGATTTCAAGTCTGACTTATATGATGACATGGTTCAATGAAGATGCAAGTATACATCAAATTTACATTTAAAAAACAAAACACCAAAACCATTTTATTGAAAACTAGTTTTATTTTAAAATTAAGTGCATAGCACTCATCTAACTCCACTGGTGTAGACTTTAGCACCATACTCGCCATTTGCATTTTAATGTTATAACAGATACATTTGGTTTGCAGTCTGTATTTGAGTAGTGTTTATTCAGTGGACTTTGGTAAAGCCCTTTATACACATCATTAATCTCTTCACAGTACACATTTAATGATGGTCCAGTAATATATAAAAAAAAAGAAGACCTACTTTAAAGACTAGTCAATAAGTTAAACAAAACGAAACCCACATAACTCCCCCCACCCACACCTCCCAAAGCTAGCAGTTGTGACTTGAATTCATACTGAAATCTAATGTTTTAAAAATAGTTCTGGTTCTCCAACAACCCCATCCCACCCCACCCTGGGTATGCAGCAATAATAACCAATTATTTTATTCTACCCGCCCCCCCCCCCCAAAGTAATCCAGTGTTCTTTAGCTTTTTTAAATATAAACTGGGAGTGGGTTATTATAAGCTTTTTAAAAAGGCATATTCTATAACAAGAATGACATTTAAACCAATCAATAAAAGCATTTGACAATACATTAAATTACGATAGGCACCAGTTGTTGTTTCAAGTTGGGATCTCTATCCCAGTATCTTACATTCATAGTATTACTGAGGTAGTTAAAACACTGAAAATTGGACTCCAGGTTGCTGGGTTCTGAATGTGAATACTAAAGATATATTCTAATGAACCCACTTTCCCCAAAATAATTCAAGTTCTCTTAAGGTAAGAACTACCAAAATTCAATTAGCAGCCTTCTATAAAGAGGAAAAATGATGATACTTTCAGAAAACAATTTTCATGCTTGAAAACTGCCATGTAAGTGTTCTTACCTGAGTGGTTTTTAATTTTTTATTTTTATCTACCAGACTAATAAATCCACATCATGCCCTATGTACTCTAATTATAAAGGTTACCTCTGTTTTAAGGAAAGGACATTCTCTAAGAATTCACACTGGCAGAAGCCACCCACCCACACTTATCCACTGGAGCCATCTGGATCAGTTTTTGAGTCCCTTCGCTTCCTAACAGAAGCCATTTGGCTTGTTTACTGAGACTCTTGCTGCATACCCACATCTTTATGTTTGTCTTCAATGCATATTGTGGCGGTCGCCTACCTGCCATGCAGTTTCCCTTCTATTCAAGTGCTATCTTAAAAAAAAACAAACACAAAAAGACACACCTTACTAATTTTTAAATCAGAAAGCTTCCCTCCACCAAATCTCTCTTCTCCCACAGATAAGAGCACAATGTATATAGTTTCAGTTATTACAATGATTTTTCTTTTTATGTTTACTCCCTCCAAACTCATTACCCTCAAATTGCCCTTGCTGTAATGACTTATTATTGCTGTTTTCACTCATTACCAGTATAGTGAAAAGTCCCAGGGCAGTTTCTGGGGCCAATCTATTGAAAATGGCTACTGAAGTTTAGTAATCAACACTCTTGCCTGCTTATACTGACTAGCTGGACACAAAGGTTGCTTATAAAACCTGTCTTCCATGTAACAAAGTGCTGCTCTAGCACAACCTGAGAACTACCCTGGCCACATTCACTTAAAAAGAAACCTACAAAACTTTATTCTAGTACTGACATTTTACAGTTATGCCTTCCCTTGAAAAAACTTCTTTAGAGTAAAATCAAATCTGAGTATAAATCATTGCACTGAGAAATGCAAAATCTATATATGTATTATGAAGGATAGAAACCACCATTTCATTCATTCTAAGCTACAATTATGTTCTCATTTGAAAATACATCCTAGCAGGAGTATTTTAACCTGTTATAAAGGTAGCTCATACTAAAACATTCCCAAAACATGTTGCATTACAGTTAAGTGTTTCCAAGTAGTACAAATTCCCTGAGATAAATGTGTTTTAATTCTAAAGATTTGAGGTTGGTCACTTAGGGAAAAAAAACAATTTATGGCCATGATTTTAAGAGATCTACTTCATCCTTAATTTTAGTACATAAATCAGGTACCTATACTATCTTGTGATAGGAAGTTATATAGAATCATCTAAAAAATTTATTTTTACTGTACAGATCGGTATGGCAATTCATGAGTTTAAACTTAAGTCAAAAAACCACTTGTAGAACAAGAATATAACTCAAAACTGCAGAATAAAAAAAAAAGGACCTCTTCAAAAATTAATACTGTAACTTTCCTTCATAAAAAGACTGTTTGGCAAGTACACAGACAACTATTAATCTCTGACAATATAAGCCAACATTAGGCGCAGAGCCCACCACAGGTCAACGTTCAAAACAGCAAAATGGATAGAAACTGTCCAAATTTTGTTGTATTGAATATTTTTGAAATACTTGGACCCTCAGCAGGGGCTTAAAATTTTTGTCATGTAGCTATTTAACAGAATTTGACATACATACTGTTAAAGTGTGTGCTTAGTCCTCCTGGTATTCATGGTGCATTCAAAGGGATATTCAGTCTTCCTGGTGCTGCTATTTGAAGAGTTCTGATGCAATTTGAATCCCTTTAGAGAAGTTTACAAAAAGCTGGCCCACAGCTTCAAGTCACAAAACAGTCTGGATCAGGTGTTACCATTACCATCACACAAAATCACCTTTCAAAACATGGAGTAATGCAAGGGAAATGTTCATTTAGCTGATAACTCCGGTTATAAGAAACATTTAGACAGGGCTTAACTTCCACTGGTATTGCCAGTGACATCCCAACACCAGTCTGCACATGCCCAAGGCCCTGAACACTAGTCTGGAACCCAGCAGGACATGTCTGTAGTGTGTAAGATGAGGTGTGTGTGGTAGATACAATCTGCTGACAGCTTGGTTGCTCTGATACAGGATGGCGATACTGCAGTGAGGTCTGATGCGTCTGATGGAGATACTGAGGTTGTTGAAAGTGAACTGACCGAGAGGGCTGGGATGTTGTCTGGAACACACTTAGTTGTGCTGGCTGAGGTACTGCTTGTCCTCTTTGTTTGTTTGCTTCTTTCACATCATTATCATGAGCACTACAACATGGATTGAAAGGAAACTGCTAATGTTATTTGAGAAGAATTTGTAGAAAGTCATGCACCACCCCCAACTCCTCCACAGCTGACTCCACAGACAGCACCACTATACCTAGAAAGCTGTCACTGTAACCACAATTTCAACAACTGTGAGATCTCATTTATCCTTCTAAGAGCTCCTTCCCTTAGTACAAACCTAGGGAACCAGCTGCTGGTAGCTTTAAAGATTATGTCTAGCTTGGGAGATATATCTACAATAAGCACTTAATTGTAACCCCTACTTTGGTGACATCCTGGGGCTCAATGATTCAAAGATGTGGTAATGAAGAGCAAGGCAAGATTTGCCTGGACTGATCTCATAACCATGGGCTTGCACCAGAGCAGCTTCTTTCCTTATCATGTACTCAGAATCATACTAGCAATGGCATCAACCTGGATAACAGCAAAAAGGGGCTCCCTTTCCTCCAAGTATCACTCTTACAACAGCTTGTTCATGGCAGCAAAAGCTATCAGAGCAAATACCCTAAAAGCTCCATGCATTTGAAAAGTTGCTTTTAAGGCCCCTTATACATGAAGAAAAATATTTATGAGAAATTGCAAACAAAAGAACAGAGAGGCTTACATCAATAGCCGTTCAATGCACTGCACTAAGAAATCCCAGGAGTAAGCAGTAAGACGATGAAGTCTTGTAGGCCACGTTGGAGAAAGACGAAGTATAATCCTTGAAGAAGCCACACATGCAGCAGCTACTAAAGAAGGTGCATAATTTAGAAAGGCATAATCTGTGGAGACATCAAAAATGAACTTAAGCAACAGAATACACAAGTCACAAGCTCACAAGTCACTTACTGGCATCCATAATCACTCACCTTGCAAAGATACTTCTAGGAAGTAATCTGCATACTTGGCCATGTAGAGTTTAGTTTTTTCCAGGCAAATCATTGGCCAGCCATCATGAAGATCTGTTTCGTGTACTGCTTCAGAGAGATAATACTCGATGAAATGGGCAGCTGTTGGAAGGCAGAGGTTCCACTGAAAAGTTTCTAATAATAATAGTTCCATATGTAGCAAATTTTGTTTAGTCAATACTAGATTCATATTAGTCATACAACCCAGGCTGTTGAGCTGCTCTAGCTTAGGCACACTATCTTCTTTTTCTTCAAATTTACCTTATAAGAAAAAGGGGGAAAATAGAGAAAATATTAGGCAATGATCATTATAGGTCTAGTCAAGTAAATGGAATTTGCTGCCTTTTATTGCAAAGATTTAGATCCAAAGACATTCTTTCCCCTACCTTGTGCCAGAACTCTGTGGTTGTCATATTTGCATGTTTTCTCTCCCAGTGCCTCTGTCCCCCCACCTTCACCCTCCACTAAAAAAACTTGAACATGTAAACATTTTGATCTAAGTCCTATTGTGTAACGAAAAAAAGTCACGAGTGCCAATGGAAAAAATAATTCTCTGAAATCTCACCAGCTGATTTTTTTCAGGCAATTTCTTTGGGTAGTTGATGGAAGAGAATTCTTTTATTTGAACAGAAGAAAGTTTAAAGGACTTAATGTCATAGAGTTATCTCAAGTCAAAAGTAGCTAAGTTTCAAGTGTTGTTATCTCAGCATATTTTCAACACAATCTCAATACCAGAGATAAAAGGGGGGGGGGGGGCTGGATGAATACATAACACAAGCATTCTCAGTCCACAATTAAACACACACACACACACACACACACACACACACACACACAACAACAACAACAACAACAACAACCACCACTCTACCCCTCTTCTTCTGAATTCAAAACAAAAACTTAGTTAAGTCTTTTACAAAAAAGAAGGGGTTGGGGGACACTTTATATACACTTTTTTATCCCTTTACTCAAAGCAGAATAGGAGTAAAAACGATCTGATGACAAAACTTCATTATTTAAAGGCATTCACTTTTTTTTTTTTTTTCCAGGAAATACTGATCCTTATGTACAAAGTAAGGAATATAACTCCCTTTCCAGCCCCAGAATGATTTTTTTTTTTAATAGAATACATACCCTCTTACACTTTAATTTCCAAGCAAGTGTTTTAATATATATCATTCATTTTAGGTATTTCTAGAGCCCATGGCTGGAGAGAATTCAAACTATCGAGTACTGTTATGATTTTCCAGATGCACCAATAGATTAAAAGAGTTGTCTTCAAGTCTCTTTGTTCCATGGTGGTCCATAGGAGAAGAGAAATTACAACTAAAACCTTCTACCAACTAGTATTATGTTCTATTTTACGATAAGGTTTAAAACAGTCATATTATATTACAATTATAGATTTTTCACAATAGCTTTACACTTATACTTGTTCAAAATGATAGCTATTAGAATGTTACATATTACATAAAAATTTTTGTTCTACTATTATAACTTTTCCAATATATTTGGTTTCCTAGGAAACATTACAATTTTATTTTATCCATTTAAAAACATGTTTTTAAGAGCCAGAATGACTGCCAAAGCAGTAGAAACTAGATGAGTTTCCCTCCCACAAGAGATGGGTTTATACCACACATTGAAGTTGTTACAAAAAATGGTAGTGGCCAGGGTCACTCAGTCCACATGCTTAATGTATTGGAGCCAGAAGGGTTTGTTCAAGTCAGCCTGCCTTAGGGCTAGGGAAGAAGTACTGCTGACTACCTTGCTCTTTGCTTAGGGAGGGGGAACTAGGGTAGAAGCTTTTGTCTCCTATGGCAAGAGATTGTAAGATAACGTAAAGAAGAAAGCCTAAAGAAGCATTTAATTCCTCTTCTGCCCCAGAAAAACTGAACTTTAGATCTAACCTACTCAACTAAATATTGTTGCAGGTAGGAGTTAACAAAAAAATATTTTTACATAATTCAAACTTTTCATAAATTTAGATACTCCTTCCCAATTCAAATTACATAGAGGTGAATCTCACAAGTTTTCCCAATAGCATATACTGAGTACACCTCAAAGCACTAAAAATGGTCTTTATGACATAGTCATCTAGCATCATCACTGCATAGCGATATAGGAGAGGAACCCACTGTCCTCAGAATAACAGAGTGGAATTCGTCAGAGTAGAATGACCTATGAACTTAGTTCAGTACTTCTGGATGAATCACTAAGGCTTTCAAAGTGCCCTGCCATTTGTGCAGCAGCAACAACATTGGCAGCATACCTCAAAGGAATATTGTAAAAATTAATGAGTTTACTTATATCATGCTTGAAGTTCCTTTGAAGAAATTAATATACCATAATTTAGTGTTTAAGTCAAGGATCAAAAATGTTTCACATTATCCACTTGAAACTTTCAACATTGAAAACAACATTGTGTATGACCAAATTCACAGCTTAAGAAACTAAGATAGTGAGGTTGGCCAATTCATTTAAGTAAATTGAGCCAAACTGAAAACGGAAGCCGAAAGAAAAATATATGTTTAAATTCCCAAATCTGCACTGCTAGACCAAAGGACTGCACTGGGTTATATGGGGACAACAACTACCAGAATAGACAGACTTCTATATTATTAAACATCTATGGACTTTCTATATTTATAAAGTACTTGGCTATTACAAGTGTGAAAGCCTTTGTATCTTGATTCACAATGTTAAAAATAAACTGCATATGCATAAATAACCATACTTTGGATTTTAATTCAGGTTTAAGTGTTTTTTAACTTTTTAATTATATATAGGGATATAAATACTCAGATACAGGGGTATTAAAGGATTTCAAAGTGTGTGACAGCAACAATGAGTACCTGCATTCATAGCCATAGTTTTTGTTGTGCTGAATGTTACGTCCTTGGATATTTTAAATGTACGTATCCACAAAGCCCACAAAGCTCAGTTTCTTCAATTGAAAGGAAATACCAGAAGCCATGTGATTATATTGATAAAGGCCCCAAACAGGAAATAAGGGCACAGGAAATTCATGTCTGCTTCCCAGAAAATAAAGAATTAAAGGACAAAGAAACAAATATCAGGTTGTCTTTCCTTTATAGGAATTGTTCAAGTCAGCCCTGGATACGAGCATATTTTCAAAGCCAGCAGTGAATGGCAAGTATGTGGTAGTAGGGCAAGGATCTGATGTCACTGTAAGCTCTTCCAACCTATATTGTGTTCTTTTATTATGAAGTAGGGAAAAATGTCACCAATATATACTAAGAATTTTCACAAATTTCTAAGACTACAGAACAATGAATAAATAACAGGAAGAGATAATTCATAGGAAAAAAAGAGGCTCTATTCTCATTAAAAATTAAGATATAAATCAAATCAACTGTTAGATACAGTTTTTCACCTATCAGATAGTAAAAAGCTCTGTCAACCTAGTATTGATGAGCAAGAAGCAAGCACTTGTCACAAATTTTTACTACTAAAAGCCTATACTTTCACTTTTGGCTTCATCTCGTGTCCAAGATAACTTCTTAGTTAACCAAGATCTTGAGTAAATTATCAAAAGCCTCATGGCCGAGTCAATGCTCATCACAGAAGCCAAGGAAAGCCAGCATATACATGTCAAAGAGTTAAAATTTGAGAATTTCTTAGGATAAATCGGTCTTTTCTGGAATGAGCCAAAACCATTGGGATTATAAAACAGTTTATGGAAGAGTAATCAATGAGATACTAACATTTTTGTTTTTTTAGTTATCACCATAGGATATGCTTTTCTTGCTTTTTAGAGAGAGTAAGTGAGAGAGAAACATCAATGTGAGAGAGAAACATCGATTGGCCACCTCCTGTACAGACCCTGACCAGGGAATGAACCTGCAATTTAGGTATGTGCCCCAACTGGGAATTGAACCAGCAACCCTTTGGTGTATGGGACAATGCTTCAACCAAATGAACCATCTGGCCAGGACTGTGATGCTAACTTTTATGTTTCAATTTCCTACCTACTTAAAAAAAAAAAATTCCTACCTGTTTTTAAACATATTACCCCACTTGATTATCAAGACAACTTTATAAGTAACTATTTTCATTTTACAGAGAGATAATCTGAGACTCAAGGGTTGCTGAAATTCTGTTGATCAGTGAACCAGGAGGTTGCGATTTGATTCAAGGTCAGGGCACAAACCCAGGTTGTGGGCTCAATCCCCAGTGAGGGGTGTGTGGAAGGCAGCCAATTGATGATTCTCTTTCATCGTTCATGTTTCTATCTCTCTCTCTCCCTCTTTCTTCCTCTCTGAAATCAATAAAAATATATGTATATTTTCAAAGATTGCTGAAATTCATATTGCTGACAAGAGATTAAAACGCAGACAATCCATCACTATAATCCCTGGTCTACAACACTACACAACACACTCTAAACAGATAATCTGTAGGACCTTTCTTCCTACCTCTAATAGTACAAACACTCCGGTACCTAGATATGCATTAGTACCTAGGATTTATAAGCTATGCTCCATCTTTGACCAAACTACTGACTGCCTCCCAACCTATTTGATAACTAGAATCCAACTGTCATCTGTAAACTGTTCTTCACTTTTATACAACAGATTGCCATCCCAAAGCAGGGGAAGGGTAACATACAGAATTCAATCATCTATATATATAAAACCCTAATATGCAAATAGACCAAACAGTGGAACAACCGAACAACTGGTCACTATGGCATGCACTGACCACCAGGGGACATGTGCAGAACATGGTGGGCAGCAGGCGGCAGAGCGCGGAACATGGCGGACATCAGCTGTGGCGGGATGGTGGAGGTGAGTGGGGGCGCCAGACCAAGGCAGGGCGCCGGTTGCTGTCAACGGGTGGTTTCTGAAATTCTTTGCTCCTGCGCTCCGCGGTCCCGCTGGGTGCTCGCACCTGCTGCTGACGCTGGTCCCACTTGCACCCGCTGCCGGCGCTGGCCCCACTCACACTCACTGCCAGCACTCAACGCCGGCCCCAATGGCTCGGTGCCGTCAGCGGGTGTGAGAGGGGCCGGCACCATCAGTGTGTGGGAGCAGCAGCAGCGGGAACGGGGCTGCCTGCAGACAGGGGAAGGGGGTGGTAGTGGTGGGGGTAGCTGTGGTGGGAAGGGCTAGGTGGAGCACAGAGGATGGGCTGAGACCTGCCCCTGTGCCCACTGCAGCCTCGCAGCCTACAGCTCCTTTCAAGGTGCATGAATTCATGTACTGGGCCCCTAGTTATTTGAATAAAGTTTATGATAATTAAACTGGAGAGCTGCAATTAGTATCCAAATGTAAGAAGATAGAGTGTAAGAATGTAAGAAACACTAGAATGAACTCCACAAATATAAAGCATATCAGGTACTGAAAACAGGCTACTAGTTTATAAGCATCCTAAGCACTTCTGTTGTAAAGTTACAGACTGGAGTGAGAAGAGACTGCAGGTAGCTTCTAAGAGCCAGCTTCTTTGATTCTTTGTATAGAACTGACAGCTTGAACTCTTTTGAGCATTGCCTACTTGGGAGGGGATGAGACTCTGGGGGATACCTATCTCACTCTCCAGTGGAGAATAATAATATAAAACCAATTTTTCTCTCTTAGGGAAAGAAGGGTTAGGAGGTATTAATAGAATAAAGGAAGGAGGTAACCAACTCTTTCCGTAATAGGTGATAAACAATTCATATTTGAACCATAGCAAATATAAATCCTAAAGCCTAGCTCCTCGAAAATAAGCAAAAAGCAACTACATATTACCATGTAAATTGATATTAAATAAAATAAATTGATCATGACACTTTAAACTAACAGTAATAGACAATTTAAAAACAGGAACAATTTGAAAACTCCATTCCAACCAACCTAAGATGGTGCACAAATAAAATATCCTTTTCCCAAATTGTGAAAATTGCAGGAACTTGGAACCAATCCCAAGCATTGCATGGTGGCCAGAATTCTTACTAGATTATTCAACTAGTATTCTCAGTAAACTTTGGTACTAAAATGTTGTTTATGAATATCAACTTTCATAATCCCTAATTCATTAAGTAAAATTTAGTCACAAATATAAATTGGTCTATAAACTGACTATGCATCATACATAATTTCACAGTCCACCAAGAGGAGTCTCCCACTTGGCCCACACAGCACTTTAAGAACTACAGGCATAGAGAAGGCAGGGCTTGATAGTATTAAAGGATAGCAGGCAAAAATTTATTTTTCATTAATGATCCCAAATTTTAAAAATAACGTAACTTGCATATGTGATTTCCAGCGTGTCTCTACTATAAACTGAGCTCCTAATAATTATTACTAACATTAGTAGCATAACAAGAAACCATTCCATTTGTGGACTCTCACATATCTGATATGCCAAGTATGGGTTTTTCCAATTCTATGCAAACTATTAAACCACAAAAGGCTTCACAGCCAGTGATGAAACACATACAAAATTGTACACATGATTGCTTATGAAACCTTAAAGGTTAAATTAAAGATTAATTATAAATATACAAGCATTACTTCTCTGGCTTTCTGGTGAGGAGTAGCATGTAAATAGATTAAAGGATAAATGTAGATTTTTCAGGAAGTAGATAGTATTCTGGTAGAATTTAGCTCAAAGTACATGGGAATAGGGTTGGAAGATGGGACTTGAAAGGTGGCTGGGTTCAGATGAAAGGTTCAAAATATTACATTAACGAGTTTCTTCCTTAATCAACAGGCAGTGGGAAGTCTTCACTAGGGCTGTATTTATTTATATTCAACTTGGTCCACAAAGGATTTGAAATAACTTATAAAAAGACCTCCAAGGAGACTAAATAAGTAGTTAAGGTAATCAGCTCAAAGGAAGAATTAGGGTAGGTAAAGAAAGCATGAGAAAAAATTAGTACCAGAAATAATACCACAGAGGCCTGCATTTGCTTTTAAGTTTATTTGCAGTAAAAGCACAAAGATGTTTTAGAAAGAGCGCAGTATGGGAAATGCTCTTTAGAGAGCAGCCACAATAGACCCCAAACACTCAAGTTGGGGTTAAAGATAAAGGCAGCAGATATTTCTAAATACTATTTTGAAGTGGGGCTTAGATTTCTAGTATAATTATATAAGTAATATATAAACTACATAATGGATTCAACTCCCATATCTAGTACAATCTTCTCACATTACTAAAAGAAGAAAAACTCCATTTCAATTCCTTTACTCACCCTCTTTCTCTTCAGTTGGGGTACTAACAAACAATGAAATGAGTTATAGGAAGATGTTAAGAGAAAGAGGTACCAAAAAGCCCAATAGCACATTCTGCCTTGGGTAACAAGCATGGCTATATCAGATTCCACTTTGCCGCCTACCTACGACATAGTTGTGCCTATGACATAAGCAAAGATGTCCACATGTGTAGCAACTGCATGTGAACCTTCAGTTCTTTAAGCTACTCATTATACAATCAGAAGAATGTATTTTAACAATAGAAGAGTATGGTATCTTTTAGACAGTTTCTCAGTCTCAGCTCTATTGACATTTTGGGCCAGATGATTCTGTTTTGGGGTACTGCCCCACCTCTACCCAATGGATGTTAGTAGCATCTTTTCAGGTTGTGATGACAACCAAAACCATTTCCACACATTGCCAAGAATCCCTTGTGGGGCACAATTACTCTTGGATGAAAACTACTGCTTTAAGACAATGGTTCTCAAGTGGAAAGACACCAGAATCATCTTTGGAACTTTTCAAAAAGTTAAATACCTAGGCCTCATGATGTTGATTCTGGAGTGGCCTAGACATTTATTTCAGAATCTGCAGGATGTATGGCTTAGGCACATATGTTTTTAAAAGACTCCAGAGCCACATTTTAATGTCTAAGAATCATTGTCCCAAGGAGAACTTTCAACACCAAACTTTCTGATAGTCATAAACTGGAATAAATAGAATTTGGTGATATTTTACTGAGTTCTGATATTCACTGATATTTTACATAAATTTATTTCATTTTTATAAACAATAGAAATTTCCAATCATGTAGATCAGATTCATACTTACTTGCCAGAAGCAGACAGGAAAGTGCAACTAAATGAAGCTGCTGGATAGAGATGTCATACCGATCCATAAATAGGTCCAGCAAATAGACAGCAAGATGTCGGGCAGAAGGGCAGAGTGTGAAGCGATTGCTCACAATGGCAATCAAGTCAGCAAAATACCTTCTGAGACTTAGTTGAGGGGACTGGCCTTTATAGGAGGGTAACTTCAGCTCCTAAATCAAAAGGAACAACATTTAGTTAAAATAGCCGGTAGCAGAAATGTTCCCACAATGAAAAGATCACTTTCCCCCTAATATATTAGTGTTACAAGTGCCTAAAGCACACTTTTCTTGAATGAAACACAAAAATGAAAACCCCTGGCCCGCTGGGGCTGGACCCCGGCAAAATTTGAGTGGAAGAATAAGGAATGTCATTTAAAATTTAAACCAAACTTTTCTCCTTATCCTTAATCACCCCTGACATGACCAATTATAGGTGTTTCTTGGATTACAAAATAGATGTACTTAAGCAAAATTTTTAATAAGGGAACCCTATTTTCCCTACCAGCTGTTTTCAGAAAAACATCCTTACCCAAAACCTAACGATACCACACATACACATTCCCTCCAAGAAGCTCAGAGCTTTTGGTTAGAAGGTAACAGATAAATGGACATAATCCTAGTATGTATTATACTTGCAGGGATGTGGAAGGTAGTGACTAGTATTATTCATCCACTAGTCTCTTCTAATTATGTTTCCCTTTCAGCAGTTTTATGATCTCTCCTTTGCTATCATCCTCTCATACACCTAAAATTTTCCCCATTATCACTGTTCAATCTCAGAATTAAATGAACTTGTTTTTTAAAAATTAGAGAAATTCTATTCTATTAAAGTATTTCTAGAACACAGAGAAAGATGATAAGGTTCTAAGTTTATTTTATGAGACTAGAGGCCCGGTGCATGACATGCACGGGCGGAGGGGGGAGGAGAGGGATCCCTCAGCCAAGCCTGCCCCCTCTCACAGTTTGGGAGTCCTCAGGGGATGTCCTACTGACAGCTTAGGCCCTCTCCCTATGGGGAGCAGGCCTAAGCAGCCATCTGGCCTCCCTCTGCAGGAGAAAACCAGCCAATCAGGGAAAGGCACCACCCCCATCACCCCTTCGCTGCTACTGCCTCTGGCCTCCCTATGTGGGAGGCGAGCCAGCAATCAGGGGAAGGTAAGGCCCCCATCACACCTCTGCTGCTGCCACTGCTGGCTGCAAGGCTGCCTGAGCCTTGGCCCTCGCAGCCACTGTGGCTTGCGCAAGCCTTGGCCTGGCCCTCGTTGCCTAAGCCTCGGGCCCTCGCAGCAGCAGCCATCATCTGCAGCTTGCCTGACCCTAGGCCAGCCCTGGGCAGCGGCAGCCGCCATCCGCTCCCCCGATGCACCTCCTGGTTAAGTCCCCGCCCACCCGCGTGCACCTCACAGCTCATGCAGCCCCGCTCAACCGCACGTGCGCACACTGTGCACGCAGTCTCCTGGTGATGGGCTGTTACAGCATGAGCATCATGGTGGGACGGTGTGATGGTATGACAACCACATAGGCTTTTATTGGTATAGATGAGCATAATACCAATACTAAACCTAACAGGTATCATTATAGAAATAACATGGATATGACCCCGAAAGCACAGGAAAAAAAGATAAATTATACTTTATCAAAATTAAAAACTTTTGTGCATTAAAGGACACTATCAACAAAGTGAAAAGGCAACCCACAGAATGGGAGAAAATATTTGCAAATCATATATCTGATACGGGGTTAATATCCAGATTATATAAATAACTCCTTTTATACGTACAACTCAATTCAACAACAAAAAACAAACAACTCAATTAAAAAGTGAGCAAAGGACCTAAATAAACATTTCTCCAAAGATGATGTACAAATGGCCAATAGGCACATATAAAGATGCTCAACATGTGTCTCTCTCACATCGATGTTTCCCTCTCTGTTTCTCCCTTTCCCTTCCACTCTAAAAATCAATGGAGGGGGGACTCTTTCCCCCGCCCCACGTGGGAGTCTGTGCTGTGAAATTCTTTCCCCTTTCCCACGTGGGAGCCTGTACCTGTTCTTCAATAAATTTCCACCTTTGCTTAAAGAAATAAATAAAATAAAAATCAACAGGAAAAATATCCTCGAGTAAGGATTAACAAAAATAAGTAAAAATGCTCAATGTCACAAATACTTAGGAAAATGCATATAAAAACCAGTATGAGATACCACTCAAACCCATCAGAATTGCTATTGTAAAACAAAAAACCAAAAAATCCACAAAAACCAGAAAATAAACATTGGCAAGAATGTGGAGAAATTAGAACCCTGGAGTATAGTGGGAATCAAAACTGTGTAGCCACTGTAAATAACAGTATTACAATTCCCCCCCAAAATTTAATGTAGAATTACCATATGATCCAGCAATTCCACTTTTAGGTATATACCAAAAAAATTTTAAAGTAGGGACTCAGATACTTGTACATTCATTTTCACAGCAACATTATTCACAATAGCCAAAAGGTGGAAACAAACAACCCAAGTGTTCAACAACTAAGGAATGAATAAACAAAATGTGGGCCCTGGCTGGGTAGCTCAGTTAGAGCATCATCCCGATGCACCAACGTTGTGGTTTGGATCCCTGGTCAGGGCACATATAAGAATCAATCAACGAATGCATAAATAAGTGGAACAACAAATCGATGTTTTCTCTCTCTCCCTTCATCTCTCTCTTAAAACAGAATAAACAAAATAAAAACAAAAATTAGGTATATACATACAATGGATTAATTCAGACTTAAAAAGAAATGAAATTCTAATATATGGTACAGTACAGATGAACCTTCAAGACAGCATACTAAGTGAAATAAGCCAGACAAAAAAGGACAAAGATTGTATAATTCCACTTGTATGTGGTACCTAGAATGTTCACGGTCATACAGGCAGAAGGTAGAATTATGGTTACTAGGTACTGGAGGACAAGAAAATGGGGAGTTATTGTTTAATGGGTATTTCAGTTTGGGAAGATGAAAAAGTTCTGAAGATGGATGGTGGTTATGGTAGCCATATGTATCTAATGTCACTAAACTGTTCACATAAAAATGGTTTAAATGGTAAATTTTGTTATACACATTTCACAACAATAAGCAAACACCCTAGCTGGATTTGAGCATCATCTCAATGCACCAAGTCTGTAGGCTCAATCTCAAGTCAGGGCACATACAAGAAGCAACCAATAGTGCATAAAAAGGTGGAATAGCATGATGAGTACATAAAAAGGTGAAATAGCAAGTTAATATTTCTTTTTCTCTCTTTCCCTTCCTCTTTCTAATATAAATAAAAAACACATACACAAAAATGGAAAAAATAAAATAAAGAAAAAACCCCCGCAAAAATGGAAGTTACATTATCTAACTTAATAAGATATAAAAATTTAGATAAATTATTCAATGTGTGCTTGCTTCAGCAGCAGCACATACACTAAAATTGAAATGATATAGAAAAGATTAGCATGGAATAATACAGAGAAGATTAACAAGGATGACATGCAAATACATGAAGCATCCCATATTTTTGTGTAATATATAGTGACAAAAGAAGATTTGACTTTGGGTGGTGGGCACACAATGCAATATACAAATGATGTGTCATAGAACTGCACATTTGAAACATATATAATCTTATTTAAAAATGTCACCCCAATAAATTTAATTAAAAATAGAAAATAAAACAATTCTCAAAGGTAATTTAGTAGTATATGCAAAGAATGTATGATTAATTGTAGCACATCCCAGGAATGCAAGGTTGGTTTGACATTAGAAAATATCTATATGTATAAAAGGCTTATATGCTAAGTGTCCCTCCGCCCATCTGACCAGTTGCTATAACGCGCACTGACCACCAGGGGGAAGATGCTCAACGCAGGAGCTGCTGAGCTGCAGTGACTTGGCAGCGGCGGTTCTCAGGTGACGCACCCCAAAACCAGAGAAGAGGGAGCCTCATTCCTTGCGGGGCCGCACGATTCCACCTTCGTCCATGGTTTATGTTGTTGCTGGGGCACTGTTGGCCCCAAATCTGGTTTATTGCATACTTGTGTTTGCAATCCACACTCTGTATGACAGCAACTTTGCAGGGTGCCCTCTTGCACTCCGGGACCCTTTGAGGGATGTTGGAGAGCCAGGTTTGGCCTGATCCCGGCAGGCCAGGCCGAGGGACCCCACCTGCCAGAGAGAACCCGCTCACTCCGCAGACACCCCCGAGCCACAATACCACCCCAGGTGTGGCCAGCTGGGAAGGGACCACGGGAGGTTGGCTCCAGGGCATGTCTGGCCTATCTCACCCAGTCACACCCCACTGGCCACCGTCTAATTAATTTCCTTTCAATGTGCACGAATCCGTGCACCAGGTCATTAGTATTAATATAAATCATAATAAGAATTCACACATAAATATGCACAATCACCTTGATAGATACCAAAACAGCATCTGGACAAAAGTAACCCTGGGAGAAATAACAGATGCATATTTCTTTGATGAAGGAAGGGAGATAAAAAAATCTCAAATATAAAAGCCAGCAACTCACTTGGATGTGAAATAATAAAAGGATTAGCATTCTAGTGTCAACTACTGCAATATTATTAAACACTAGAGGCCTGGTGCACAGATTTGTGCACCAGTGGGGTCCCTCGCACCAGTGCACAATCAGGGCCAGGGAGAAACTGCGGGAGGGCTCCAGGGTGTGTGCAGCCCATCTCGCCCAGTCCCGATAGGCCAGACCCCAGCAGCAAGCTAACCTACCAGTAGGAGCGTCTGCCCCTGGTGGTCAGTGCACGTCATAGCTACTGTTGAACGGTCGCTTAGGCTTTTATATATATAAATTATTCTGTGAATACTAACCAATCCAAACAGAAAGAGGGAAGAACAGATTTAATTATTGGAAAGGAAAAATCAAAGTTACTCTCAGAAACAATGTTGTTATTGTTTTAGATGATAGAATTTATATTCAGAAAGAAACAAGAAAAATCAACAGGAAAAATAAGGAGCAACAGGAAGAATTCAGTACGATGGCTATTTATAAAATTAATAGAAAACAACCAATAGCTTTCTGTATGCTAAGAGCTGTTTAAAAAATAGAAGTTTCCACATACAGTAACTATAAAAATTAAAACACCTATAAATAAATCTATATATGCCAGTAC